GTCAACTTAAAGGTATTTTTTAGAATAGATAATTTTCAATATCTGATTTTCTCCTGTAAATAAGTCACACAAAAATAGCTGTGTATTTTGTTCAGGGCATAACAACTACTGTTGTATGTGACTCACATTTTGATACTTCTTGTCCTTCTGAATGGACACTGAGACTTCTTCCACACTCATGTCAGCCTTAAATCTATAATAAAAGTAAAACCCTGTTAGCATAAATCAAGGAGGTTCAATGCATAAATCAAACACTCACAAGACGCATTGAAGTCAGCCAATCAGCAAATAACCAGTCCTGCAATTTCAATTTTTGGCAACCCCTCAGGGTTGGAACCAATTGTTCCTGGTGATGATCAAGTCTTACCTGTCATCCTCTGCATCTGGTTTGACGCTGAGTTTGGAGACTTTCAGCTGGGAGGTTGTGTCAATCAACTTGAAGTCCGATGTTGTCACCAACACAGACTCCAGCTCCAAGCTGACAAGCTGTAGGGGAGGGTAGAACAAACACTCTTGACACTGTTAAAGGATTGTGACTAGCACTCTTCAGGTACAGAACAGTGTATGCTAGTAGTCTCAACATTTTAAACCGTAAAGTATCAAACATACTTTACATTTCTGTGCAATGACATTTTACATACGACATGTACATGTACATATTGTTTCTATTGAATCTTGTCCACTTTTGTCTTCTGACTGAATGTAAAATGTCTTGTCCTATATATGCTGGGACCTCTCTGAGTCAGAAATCAGCTTTTACAAGCTGAAGGGGCAACCTAGCCATCTTGTAATGAAATAAATAAGTATACATTCTGTAAAGAAATACAAGTAATCCACACCCACCTGGAAAAGACTTGTCCCGATGAAGGCGATGGTAGTCATGGCCACACCTCTGGTGGACGCCCCGCCTGTGTCCTGACCTGGGGCCTCTGGCGGCTCCTGTGCTCCTGGTCCCTCCTGCTTCTGTATCTCTACCTTCACATTCCCCACACAGACTGCAAAAAAGTGTCTGAAAATATGCAAAAACAATATGTAAAACTTGGGACATTTTAAAACCATCTAACACCTTATTATCTATTGTGGTTTTATTGTTCAAGTTAGGGTTATATGATTTTCAGTGTACATGTACCGGGGTACATATTTTAGTGACAACATGTCGATTGACATGGTAAAAAGCACTTACGTGAGCTCTGGTTTGAACACCTTGCAGGACACCCATATTTGGTCAACGTCCTGTACAGGGGAAAGAAACAACAGAGGTCTTATAAGACTCTTCCAAAGGTTAAGAAGTGATGTACAAAAAATAGTGAGACAAAACCACCACTGTATTCAATATAATACAAAAATCAATGCATTTTCATCAAACATGCCAGACTATAATTAAGCTGGTGATACATACAGATACAAAATTCCAGCGATGTTGGGTAAGCACACATGCCTTACATGTATTACACAGGAACAACAGACACCCGTACCACACCTGTACCACCAATAACCATCATATTAAAATCAACATGGCCTTACAGATGTAAATGAGGAGTGATGATATTATATACTCACAAATCGCCCCTTCTTGGAATGGACAGAAATGCCCCACAGTGAGAAGAACCCGATGCCTTCAATGTTCACGTCTGCCTTCAGTTTGCTTGACAGAAGTTTGGATAGAAGGGCTGCTAGGACCCTTGGGTGAAAAAAATCAATTGCTAGCTCATTATCTGATAGCAATAACATGTATGTCTACACATATTGATTTAACTGGCAGACTTCTTTGAGTCTAGATCTTTGACGGCCATATTGCAAGTAACATTTGTCATCACAAGGGTTTACGGAAAAACCTGGGCTGTCTACCTTACCAGGCTACCTTACCAGTCTACCTAGCCTGTCTAGGACGTCAGGCTACTGAACTCCCCCCATCCACAGCCTCACGAACAGCAAGACTTCCAAGCAGCTGCGCCCCCTGGCGGAATGCATCAGAATTGCACCCACTACTTTGGCACGTGCGTGTGCACAGGCCTGTGCAGCATGCAAGGAGTTAAACATAGCCTGACTAATCGCGCTCCTGGCGGCCGTCAACCCGAAGTGGGTGGGGGTCACACAGGCTATGTTAACACAGCAAGAAAACACAAATTTAGCACAAATAAATATACGCTATGTGCTAGTGACAATCATAGTCACTCGGCGTGGTTACCCAAGTGATGTCAATGTGTCAGGAATGGGGTGTTAGTGAAGAGATGTCACACGTTGTGCGATAGCGATTCAGCCGCTTCAGCGATTCTTCATTTGAACGTTATTTTTCATAATTGTTGAAGGGTAAAATTTTTAACATCATGTCTTCTTTTTCATTTTTTTGTTTAATTCTGAAAAGATACTTTTACAGCACAGAGACCCGTCCTCTCCGTCATACAATAACATGTGGACGTCGACGTCCTTATCTCCACATGGGATAATCAATTCTATAAGCTACATATTATCGAATTACATGGATAAACACATGCTATGACCGACAGCCCTGATGCCTTGTTAAGGGACTGTACGATATTTACCGGGGGGGCTGGTGAACTGGGGGGGGAGGGCCATTGAATTTTTTTTGGCCTGGGGGAGGGCCATGGAAAAAATTTGAGCCGGGGGGAGGGCCATCGAAAAAAAAATCGGCCTGGGGGAGGGCCACCGAAAAACTTTGGTAAAATATGGCGTCGCGTAGTACCGAATTACAAGAAATACGCCGTAAATCCCCGAATATAGTACGCACTTTTTACATTTTTCAAAATCCCAGAAGTGTCTCGGGCAGTCGCCAAAGTCGCGGTGCGTACTTTATTTGAGTTTTCCGCGGACAAATCCGACACCGGCACGGGGAGCTTGGAACGACATCGATTCGTCCATAGCATGTTTAGATAAGAATATTGACGAGTGGAAATAAAGTTAAACTTCAATAAATGAACATATTTCCTGTGATTTTCGTCGATATTGACACCAAGTTGCGGTAAAAGAAGAAGTCAAGTCACCCACGGTAAGAAAATGTAGGTTTCTGGCAATGACGCCCGGCGCTTTGTCATGCCGACAGGATCGTTCCCCAGCTAGCCGGCGCCGATCTCAGTGGAACCCCGGCAAAATATAACCTCACGTAAGTACACATACAATTGTAGGGTTTATGAGTGGTAATATTTGAAATGGTCCGCAAGCCGTGAACGTTCTTGATCGTCGTAACGTAACATGTGATAACATAACAGTTGTGCCTCGCCTGATGGTCATCATTTCCACTACACTTCCGGCTTGAGTTCAACTCAGGAATCGTCAACAAAGGTTATATGCCCGTGTCGTTTCAAAGGTTCAGAAATTGTTAACCTTGTTTCACTTCGTATCACAAATATTTTAAATCTTGATAGATGCCACAGGAAATTACTTTGTAGCGGGCTACACCAGCCAGTGCGACGTGAAAATTCCAGNTTTAACTAATTTATAAACGATCATATAAACTTTTGAAGGGGACATCGATCATTCTGTACTTGTACAGCCAGTATAACCACCTCTCGGCATAACACACCAGCTTCTTTATCTGTATAGCCAGTGTAACCACCCCTCGGAATAGCACACCAACATTCAGTTTCAAGAACATGTATGTGAAACCTCAGGTGTCAAACCTCTGCACAACAAAGAACTGGAAACACTTGTTGAGAAAAGTGGAGGTGCCCGGTATGCTTAACCAAATTTTCTGGAACATCACAGGGTAATAATAATAATAATATATGCATTTTCTTCTGTCACTCAAGTATCAACAACCAATAACCAAAGATGTGGCAGGGATACCCTATAGATGAAGATAAAATGCTCTACATGGCACCAGCTACAGAAGAAACTGAAAGGCTAACCTGTACTTTGAGCAGGAAGTCAGCATACAGCTTGTCTGGTGTTCTGGGTTTTCCCTGCTTGTAGAGTAACTTTACCCACTTCACACAACTGATGGTCTGTAAGGAAAAATAGACTTCATTCAAGATAGGTAAAAAAATACTTTGATTTTTGCGGAATTGACTTACATGACAACACATTGATGTGTTGTAAATCTTGCGTCATAAAATCAAAGGAACAATTCTCAACACTTCATGAGTCATTTTAGTCTGCGGTGACATGTCTAATACTACAACATTGACAGTTCTTACCTTGTCTACAGCAGCAGCAAAGTCATACTTGTATGGGAATGATATGTGAATCTTGTCCATGTTCACACTCCTATAAGGGGACAAAGAGAACTGTTACAACACACTATTTAAGTTCATCATGTTAACTTCTGGGGGGAACCTAAGTATAGAAGCACAAACCTTTGGCTTTGATAGAATCATACTGGCACTATATATATATGTAGTAATGACATGCTAGTGAACACTTGTATTGGACCTCGAGGTGATGGAAAAGACTTGAGATACTAGTTCTAACTTACCATGCTCTGTTGGTGGGGTTGACCAGCGTTTCACAGCCGATCCTCTCTCTCTTCAGCTGTTCATGTTCAGGGAAATGTTGTATGGAAATGACCTAAAATAGGTCAAACAAGGTCAAGGTCACTCAAACTCAAACATTTCTACAATCACACTAAAATCTCTGAGTTTGTAGGATAGTTCAAAATGCGTAGTACTCAGTTATTGAGAAGATACAGCATCTAAAGAAACTTATAAGTTCTGAATTTCTTATAATACATTGGTAGTTACCTCAATGTTGAAAATGTCATGGTCATCAAAAGACACAGTCAGTTGAGGTGCAGTCAGCTTAACAAGTTTGCCCTGCACTGAAACCTTCACGTCACAAGATGAGATGTCAATTCTGTGGGGAAAAAATACAATGTTCAAGATGTCAGTATGTTTAACAGTCAAATATAAGAAGTAAATGTGAAAAAAAGTAGAAACATTCAGCAGAAACAAATAAAATCTGACATATCAAAAAGAAAATCATTGTCCATAACTCAAAGTTCTTGCCAGTCATCTTTAAGATTTTTCAGAAGAGAGCCCACTTACTTGCTTGTGGTTGATGTGTGTAGGCAAACCTTCACACACAAGACTGACATGTTGACACTGAAGCTAGCCTGGGGTGTGGACTGCACATCTGATGGTCTAACCTTGCTTTTGGATGACAGAACTACAAAAAACAGCAATGTTAACAATAAAGGACAATCCTGCATGTCGCACTGTATACTTAATACATTATCTAGACAAGGTTTAATAGCAAAAGCCAGCTTGGCAAAATCTGTACACCAAATAGTAAGACAATACAGATATACAAGTTTTCATCTCACCACTGAGTTTGCTCCTGAATGACAGAATGTCTTTGATGTGTTGAAAGATGGACATGTGAGCTCTGGTGGTCCAGTCTGCTTGGATCCCACTGGGACAGTCAACAGACAGGGCCTGGTGGGGACAAATAGCAATGAATAAGAGGTCAGTTCTGCTAACATACTGTGAATACTCACACCAAAACATCTCGCAGCCATTTCAAGTATGAATGTCAGGGAAATTTCTTGGAAACAAGTAATGAAATACACATAAACCGGTTAGTGAGTGACTGAAAGTCAAACCTGTAACAATAACAATGTCTATAAGGACTAACTAAATTAAAGTACATATGGACGAACCTTGCAGACTGGAGTGTATGCCCAGGACATGTTGTCAATCTGTACCAGACCTTCGGGTAGTTCTTTAGCCTGCACACACTTGTAACTCTGCAATAGCAATGACAACAAAAATAGATATTTAAAATGAATTAATGTGGTGCATTGCTTTATGCGTAACACCTGGAAAAGGCCACAGTCAAGAGTCAAGAAAGAAAGTGTCAATACTAGTAATTTAGAATTCTTTGAGAAACCTTACCTGTCCAAGCATGGCTGTTGTTAGGAAGCGGACACCCTGTATGGACCCTTGATACTGAGGGTCACACAGCCCCACTCCCACCTCATCTATGTGGAACAACAGGCACTCTTCTGTTGAAGGGGAAAAAAAAGAAGAAAATTACACACATGCATCTATACAGACAATAATGTGTACAAGATAAGTGAGGAAAAAATGTCACAGACTAGACTTAAAATTTGTGACACCGAATTCCCACATAGGGTTTAACATGTTGAGTCCTGTCCTTGGTGCTGAACATATCATCACCAACTGCTTATTTCCATTATCATTATTTACTCATAACCTTTTGTACTTAGCAGTAGTGCTAGTTAGATGCGAGGCTTTCCTTCTATTTTCTTGTTCATTTTTCCATACATTGCACTTTTCATGAGTTGGCCTGGTAGAGAAACTAGGTTTCTGTTGATAGGTCCCTACAGATTTCCTAATCTCCAAGCAGATGTTTCAATGGCCGCAAAAGACAGTATTAAACTAGCCAGGCAGTATCCATTTGCCAGACTGTATCCATTTTCCACCCAACTGCCTGGCCAATACTGTCTTTTGCAGCCACTGCTACAGATTTCCTGTTAAGTTAATATAAATAGAAATAGATGGACCTTACCTGGCACGCTGCCACAGAAGAAGGCATTCAGCCCCTGTAGTCTGAACTGCACGTTACACGACAGGGACCTGTCTGTGGGTTTGTCCCGGGGAGGGGACACGGCTTCAACTGTCATGTCCGGGCCCTTCCTAGAATGTACAGCTTCCAGTAAGAAGGTAAGAACCTCCATGGCAGGTACAGACCACTCCAGCTGCAGGTCATACGCACCACCTTCCACTGTGAGCTGCTGTTGGGTTGTCTTCTCTTGGATATGTGTGGTGGACTTGCCCTGGAAAATTCCAACATTTAACAGTTGAATATTGAACTGAATATTAAACTGCATCATACCTTTTTGAGTTAAACACAAAAAGGTATGATGCTGGTATTTTGTTCCAGCTAGCGAACTAGCATTTGGGTCCAGAAGTTGGTGTTTTGTAATTTGTACACGTATGAAACCGCGTATGAAACGTCAATTTCTGGACCCAAATGCTAGTTCAGCTAGCACAAGATACAAGGGGAAAACACACAAAACACAGGAAAACCAGAACAATTTTGCAAAAGAGAATAATTTTTTAGGGCAACACCTTGAGGCATTTGAACACTATTTGCTGATAATACTGAGCAAGATGACCCACAGAAAGAGTTACCCCTACCTTGATTTTTAGAGACTGTACAGCCAGTACCTGTCCCCAGATGTGGACCTGAGGCTCAGTGTTGGCTTTACATACAGCATGGTCCCCAACTGCACACCACAGGTTATCTACTGTGATGTCTCCACTACAAACAAGATGTTTCAGTCATCATTATAATCACATCTACACACAATTTATTAATGATATACTATTCTTGATGTCCAAAAGATAGACCATTATGGAAAAATGGAAACTTCTGGGTAAAAAAAAATTACACACAGGCTGCAGACAAAAGTGTGTGCAAGAAACTTGAAGAAAAATGACACAGACTAGACATAAAAGGATGTTTGTGCCATCAACATCCCAAAAAACTTGTTTAACATGTTGAGTCCTGTCCTTGGTGCTGAACATATCTACTATTGAATCTACATATGTCGGTCTTTATAGTTTATAATACCAGTACTGTTAAATCAAGTAATTGGTATTTGAAAGAAATCCATACCTTAACTCTGATCCTATGACTGGAAGACCTGGAAAATACAGAAAAATGTCATTCAAAACAAGTTTTCAAAACATAATTGCACAAGTACACAAGAACAGTATGATTATATCTATCTTTCATTCATCATTTAGCCAGTTTTTCATCAGTCAGTCTGTCTATTTGTCTGTTTGTTGTATTTTGTTATTTGGTTACCTGAATCAGAAGACTTCTGACCAGAGGCAGCTATGGAGTTGATTCCCAAGGCAAACTCTGGATGGTCAGGAATGGTCACTCGTACGGAGGCATCGGTCACCGACACTTGGGTGGACATGGGCACTTGGAACTGTAGGGATACACCACTGAAAAACACAATGTCTTTCATTTAGTGACTACTGACCAACATTACACTAAGTTGAGCATGTCTCAAGCATTGCTGTTTCTGACTTAGTGAGCAGCGATGCTATTCAAGCAACCTGCCTAGAAGTGACTAGAAGTGCTGTCTTGGCTTTGCACTGAGCAAATGTGTTGAAAAAAATTATAAAGGACATTTAGTATGCTAGCAACATGGACAGGCACTTGTACACTAGAACTCCTTTGTGCAGTGTACAACAATGTAAGTCACGAAAGTGTGTAGCAAAACAGCACTGCTTTGGAATCTAAAATTTCAAATGTACATGTAGCAAGCTGGTACCTTTTCTTGCTAGGCACAGGGGCAGGTGCTGAGGCAGGTACTGAGGCTGGCATGAGTCCAGCTGTTCCCATAGGTTGGGCATGACCCCTCATCTTCAGCATCACCCCATGCCAGTACACCATCTCCGCATGGTCATGGTGGGCGTGGCATGTTTCCATGGTGATGGTCGTTGTGATGCCTGTTCCTGAGACCTCTGCAGATGTTTTTAGCCACTTCAGCAGGAACAGCTTACTCTCACTGAAGCTCTCAACAGTCAGCTCTGCACAGGAGAGAAACAATGGTCAAGTTGGTTAAGTCTGCACAGTTTATCATAGAAAAATTATGTTTTTATCATAGGAAAATGATGTCCTTATGACACAACTTCAAATTGGAGTTCTTGAGGTTTGATTCCTGAAGAAGGTACCAAAGGCTGAGGAGTTACCAAACCCAAAATGTCAGTTAAGTAAATTTTCTTGAGGTTGTGTCATAGTCATGAATAAGTGTGTCATGGGAACAATATTTTCTTTTGTTGGGTCTGCTCTTGTTAAACAAGTGGTTGTGAATAAAGAACTTTGCTAGCCAATCATTCACCAACCTGTTGAAATTATTAAAGTACATCAAGCCTTACCTTCAAACAGAAGTTTGATCTCATTAGCTGGGACAGCCAGGGTCTGTGTGGTGTCCTGCAGTGCAGGCTGGGTAGGGTCCTGTTCGAAGCACAGGTTCACACTGGCAATGTTCATGGCAACACCCCTGGGGAAAAGGTGACAAACTTTACTTTCAAACCACTTAAATTTGCAACACGCCTCCTCATACCATTAGAACAAACCAAGTCAACAGACTCAAAATTTTCAGTTCATTTAGTGATCTGAAAAAGAGAGAGGGATGACACTCAAATTCACATCCAAAAGTAATCTCTTACTATAATTTATCCAGTAGTAGAGTTTGATATTGTTTACCAGGATGTCTACCCTTCATCAATGTATCAGGCCAACAGCCCTTTACACATAGTTTCAGAGTGTAAATTGAATACTGTCTAGTGGAAATGATAGAGACTGAGAAAAATGTTTGGACCAAGAAAAGGAAACGTGCCCTCCTGAAGGAAGATAACACTGCTACATGTACTTACTTTAAGCTGCTCTCCACAGACAGAGACAAACTGGTATCATCAACATGGATCTTCACAAGCTGAAATTCAAAAATAAAACATTTAAAATTATCCTACCTCTTACATCTGTCACACATTGAAGATAAACTTGTACTCTACCAAAAGAGTATAATAAATTCAAGTGCAAACTGCACAGACATATGCTGACATTTCTGGTATTCTATAAAATAATACAAAAGACCTAAGATTTTTAAGAAACGTTTCTGAGGATCAAAGAAGTGTGGTTTCATTTCAAGAGATCATGTACATCATTTACCTGTGGCAGAAATCTCATGAGTTTATTGATGAGTGCCATATTGTCCATGCTGCTGCTGGTGCTGGTGTCTGTCAGGGTGAAAACAGGAAAGGTGCAAAATAAGGTACAGAATAATTTCCTCCAGGACAAAAACAGAAAACAGTTAACCATGCACTCAATTTTCATTCAATATTTGAATACAAAAGATATGTGTACAATGTGCACAACATGTATTTGATACACATACATGTAACTGATCATGACATACATACATATAATAAAAATCAATATGTTCTACAAATTTCTAAACTTACCAACTCTTTGGACCTCCTGGAATTCCTTTGACAGTGACCTATCATGTAAGTGTTGAACAGCAGTCAGCAGACCTGGAATTGAAAAATTAAAACTGTGATATACATTTCACATGTTTGAAAGTAATCAAGAATTTATGGGATTAAGCATTATCTAATACCTGTCATCTAATATACATGCACTTCTTACCTTCATGAACTTCAATCTTGGGTTTCCTGATGCTTAAGTCCAAGATCTATATAGAGGGAAAATATACCAAGTCAATCACATTTGCAAATACATTAAAGCACTCACTCACTCACTCACTCACTCACTCACTCACTCACTCACTCACTCACTATCCGGTTTATCGTCTGTTGTTCCCTGTCTTCTGTGGGTTAGACGTGCTTGCACTGCAATGCTGCATTATATCAAAACATATATAAGAGTAGACAAAAGTAAAACTGTCTGACTCTCACCTTGGGTGACTTGGCTAGTATATCAACATCCAAAGACAGCGTGATCTTGCAGGATGCATTCACAAGTGTGGGGTTTCTGACCTGAAATATAGAACTCAAGAGTCAACCTCAAGGCCTTTATAGAATGAATAATTTTCATAATCTGATTTCCTGCTGGAGGTAAGTCTCATAAAAATTTAAGGGCATTTTGTAAAAAATCTACAGTTATATTTAACTCACATTTTGATACTTCTTGTCCTTCTGAATGGACACTGAGACCTCTTCCACACTCATGTCAGCCTTAAATCTGTAATACAAAGTAAAACCCTGTCAGCATAGATCAAACATTCACAAGACATATTGAAGTCAGTCAATCACCAAATACCCTGCAATTTATCTATCCAATGTCTGGTTATTGTCGTCAATTTTTGGCAACACCACAGGCTTGGAGCCAATTTCTCCTGGTGATGATCAAGTTTTACCTGTCATCCTCTGCATCTGGTTTGACGCTGAGTTTAGAAACTTTCAGCTGGGAGGTCGTGTCAATCAACTTGAAGTCTGACGTCGTCACCAACACAGACTCCAGTTCCAGGCTGACAAGCTGTAAGGGAAGGTAGAGAACAAATTCTGTTGACAGTGTTTAAGGATTGTGACCAGGACTCTAGTCTTTAGGTATAGTGTATGCTAGTACTCTCAACAATTGAAGCAGTATCAAACATATGTTTAATATCTAGTTCTGTACAATATGTTTGACCTTGTAATGCCTCATTACTTTGAGTTATGGACAAAAGTTTCGTCTCGACATACTGGATTTTATTTGTTTCTACTGAATCTTGTTCACTTTTGTCTCCTGACTAAAAATGTAACATACTTGTATCTTGTTCTGTATATACTGAGCTCCAATGGAAATCAGCATGTACCAGCTGAAGGGACAACCCAGCAATCTTGTGATAAAATAAGTAAATAAATAAATGAATATGCAACTCTGTAAAGAAATGCAAGTAATCCACACCCACCTGAAAAAGACTTGTCCCGATGAAGGCAATGGTAGTCATAGCCACACCTCTGGTGGACGTCCCGCCTGTGTCCTGACCCGTGGCCGGTGTCGGCTCCTGTGCTCCTGGTCCCTCCTGTTTCTGTATCTCTACCTTCACGTTCCCCACACAGACTGCAAAAAAGTGTCTGGAAATATCCAAAAATAATACCGGTATGTGAAATTTTAGTACGTATACATCAGATGAAATCATGTAATACTACATGTATATATTTGTTGCAGTTTTATTGTTGAAATATTTGGTCTTAACATAATGTGATGAAAATGATGGACAGGCATGTACACATAAGGCTGGAAGGAATTAGTCGCATTTCAATTTCTCAAGCCATAGTAGGTCTAGAGATATACATTTCTAGTTAATTTTTAGTAACAACTAATTAAAAAGGAACTTACGTGAGCTCTGGTTTGAACACCTTACAGGACACCCATATTTGGTCAATGTCCTGTACAATAAGAAAAAACAACAAGCTTAATTAAAACTGTTCCAAAGGCTAACAAGAGGTGTGCAAAAATAGTGAGACAACATCACCACTATATTCAATATAGTACAAAAATGCATTTTCATCAAACATGTCAGACTATAATTAAGCTGGTGTGTTATGCCAAAGGGCGGTTATATCGGCTATACAGATGCAGAATTCAAGTGATGTTGGGTACTACTAAGCACACCTCCTTTCCTAGATGTACATGTATCACACAGGAACAACACACCTGTACCAGTAAAATCCCAATAACCATCATATTCAAATCAACATGGCCTCACATTTGTAAATGAGGAGGGATAATGGTAAATACTCACAAAGCGTCCCTTCTTGGAATGGACAGAAATGCCCCACAGTGAGAAGAACCCGATGCCTTCAATGTTCACGTCTGCCTTCAGTTTGCTTGACAGAAGTTTGGATAGAAGGGCTGCTAAGACCCTTGGTCGAAAAAAGGGAAAAAAAGTTTAATTGCAAGTTTGCAAAATGATACAGTTATGTCTACACATATTAATTACTGATAGAGTCTTTGACAGCCATAGTGCAGGTAACATTTGTAATCATAAGCTATAAAAATGGTTGACAAGACAAAGGATTGCTTCAGATTATTATGATTAATGAGAAACCATACCAACACTTTGAAGGGGTTGCTTGACATTGCGATACAAAACCAAATCAAAACGACACTGTATATAGGAAAAATTGAATTTCAATTGTTCTCATTTTCCTTTCACTTCAGTCTACAAAATGCATATATAGCTGTAAAGATATTTGGATTGTCATCATGTAATTCATCTATTTTACAAGGAATTCAGACGACATAATGATACATAGCTTACAGTCCACCATCATACTTTGATTTAAAGGTACATGTAACGTTACGTCATGACGTACAATTAATTAAGTTTCAAAGGTCAGAGTCAGACAGGCAGTCATGAAACTACCAAATTTATGGCAAGGCAAGTTATGCCAAGTGGTTTATACTTATTTTTCAGCTATATTTGTATACATATATCATTTACATCATGGACTTGTCCTTACCTTTAAATTCTTACGCATAGAAATTCAAATATAACGGGGTCGTCATGACCTAAGATTTTGACCAGATATTTAGCAAAAACTGTGACACTTACCGGGACAAAATCCACAGGACAGGAACTAGGATAGCAACGTACACTAGTAAGTTAGCCATTTGTGTTTGAATGTATCAAGAATTTCGTGGAATTCTAATATTTTTGGCGACTTCACTGTTTTCCAGCTTTTTCGACAGCCATCTTGTCTCCCACCCACTTTAGCTGGTCATTGTGAACAACTTTATGCCTTTCTAATTAGTACCAAATTATGACGTAATAAATAACCATTTTAAACATCTTTACGTCATAAATAATTTCAGTATTATTGAAATATTAATATTTTTGGTATTAACATTTGATAAAATGTATTGCGGAGGATATTTTATTAAGTAGATCGTGCACTGAAAATTATTATGCCGTGGGCGTCATGGGGCCTCGCTCATGTGCGGAAGCAAAAAGACGTCCCAAAGGTTGGGGCGGGCAGTTCAAGAGACCTCTCCTCCAACTTTCATCACTTTTTCAGCAGTTCCCTGGCCAGCCCTCGCCTGTTCTTCCTCATCATGCCTCCCTCTACATACACTCGGGCTGCTAAGGTGGTGTGTGGCGTCGGCGCGGTGGCGATTGGGATTTATCTGGGCTACGAGAACCGGCACAGAACGACGCTCCGTGCTTCATGGACCACGAACTTCAAACCTAGTGTAGAATGGGACTGGAACTGGGACAGGTAGGCTATCTGGATGAAACTAAAACACACAGAGCCGTAATATTGTTAAGCATAACACCAAGACCTATCGTGACAAAGCACTTTGGCAGCTAGCCCAAAGCTAACCTTTAACTGAATGGCGGAACAGAACAAACCGGTTTGATAAGTTCACAGATTTGGTAATTGAACACTCCAATCACATGTGGGTGTAGCATAGCCTGTGGTCAAAGATGACATGCTGTAAAAGAACCTGAATGTAAATGCTATGTCTGGACAAATTAAGTTTGTCTATGTAATGTAGTACTTGGGGAGGGAATGACTAAGGCTATTGACTTGGAACATACTGTTTAAACTTTTGATCGGTTCTTCTTCCTCTTCAAGCTTCCTCTTTCTCTTCTTGTTTTTTTTTTAATCATATTTCAGAGAAATAAAAAAATACCGCAATATTAAATCCACAACTAGTTCCAGCTTCATTCCATGTTTCTCCCCCCTAGACGCGAGCCCAGCAGCCTGGTGAAGCCACCAAAGACGGAAGATGAGAAGGACTCGAATGAGTACAACGTTAAGCTGGAGGGAGTCAAGTCCAAGGCCAACAGACACCTCATCTTCATCAGACATGGCCAGTATGACATGAGCCCCAAGAGTGATGAGGGGAGGAAACTTACAGGGCTAGGTACAGATGTATGGCCAGGTGGTCCTAATATAGACATAGTCAGTTGTACAGGTTATCAATGTGCAGGTTGTCATTACATAGAGGTGGTCACTTTTTAAGTTTTACAGGTTTGACTGTAGCCAGATTTATGGTCATTATGTATAGGCGGTAGAGGTTCGACTGTACTTACACATTGATAGGATAGAAGACTTATTGGATTGGAGTGACAGATACAAACCTTCTTGAAGAGATAGCCTTTTGGCCCCACATCTGTACAGTGGACCTTAAGCCTCTTAAAACCTTGTCCTACGCATCAAAGAACAGGTATTGCATTGACTGATGAAAAACATTTAACCATTTTCACTACCTCCAGCACTGAACATTTTCCCTTTTTTTCATTCCAGGTAAAGAACAGGCGACTTTCACAGGTAAAAGACTCCAGGAGCTGAGTAAGGAACTCGGTGACTTTGACCTCATTATGCAGTCCACCATGACACGTGCAATGGAGACAGCTCAGATCATCTCAGGTTTTCTTCCCAAGGTGCCTTTGCAGAGTTGTGCACTGCTGCGGGAGGGGGCACCCATCCCTCCTGAACCCCCTATTGGCCACTGGAGGCCAGAACCTTCTGTAAGTATAATTGTCTAATTCAATCTTGAAGGAAAAAACACCAAGGCCTGGGTCTTGGCATCCCTCATTGCTATGGCAGGGTGGGTAAAGTAACACAAAATGGCAAAAGGTGTTATCTTTAAGTTCTAACAGTTCTCAGAATCAGAAGGATGATGTCATATGACTCATACTAAAAATGGAAAAGATTTACAATTACACGGGATGCAAGTCCATTCTTTCACCTTTGCAGAGTCTTATTGCTTTTGGGCTAATCATGCACAAATTACATGATTATCATTGCTAATGATTTTGGAATTCTTCCTATACTAATGAACAATAACAAAAGCCATATTTATACCTAAGCATTCAAAAGACATTGTTTTTTAGATACTAACTGTAAGGTGATAGGGTTCCGTTGCCAAGGAGATGTAGTAGGAGCGTGACTATTTTGTGTGTTGCAGCAGTTTTACGAGGACGGTGCTCGGATTGAGGCAGCCTTCAGGAAATATGTCCACAGGGCGGACGCAGAGCAAGCTGTGGACAGTTACGAAGTGTTTGTCTGTCATGCCAACGTCATACGATACTTTGTTTGTAGGTAGGTATGTGTATGAAGTGCTCTGCACTATCTGGCACCATTCCACATTGCTATAACTACGTGTACAATGTAGATACTGGGACAAGATGGTTATTCTAAAGTATTAAGACCTTAGAGTTATACACAATTTCTGACAAGTATGAAGCATAAAAGTACTACATGTAACGTTACCCTAGTTGAGGAGACTATATGCTGGTAGACATTTTCAACATCCATAATGTTTTTGATAATGACCCCAAGCCTATAAATGCTTGTTCTTGAACTTTAGACTTGTGGTGAAAAGCTGAATGTATTTTTTTTCTTCCACCACACTAGAGCACTGCAGTTCCCACCAGAAGCCTGGTTACGCATCAGTCTGAACCACGGCAGCATCACGTGGCTCACGGTCCGACCCAACGGCAGGGTCGTGCTGAAGGCCCTTGGGGACAGCGGCCATATTCCCGTGGACAAACTAACCACATCGTAACCACTAATATGATACCAACAAGCTGCTACAAGACAAGCCTGATTGATTCACATTTTAAACCACTTTTGCAGCGAGATTTTAGAAGTGTGAAGTATTGTATTTTCGTAGATGTAAACAGATAGACAGTACAGTATGACAAATGTACATGTCATTCTTTGCTTTTTGTACAACAGGAGTCCTCAGTCAGGGAGAAGCCAGGTACAATGGTAGTATAGAATAGCAATATTTAGTATGTGTACTATAAAGTGGACTAGAAGTTTATACCGATTTGTATCTATTTACAGACTGGGCCAAGTCCGAAAATTTCCACTGGTATTTTTGTTATGCACCTTGCTGTTGTTAAGTACATTTTGTATACCAAAAATGCAACATCCTCTATACTTATATCTACCCTATTTATAAATGTACCTGTGATAAATATACATGGTGTCAGTATTTTCTATGCACAATCACAGACAATAAAAGGGATAGTGAGTGTGAGTGAGTAAGATGTTGGTTAGATGTGTGTATACATGGTATCATAAGATTTAGGGCAGGCTATTACACATGTAGTAACAATGGTGAACCCATGTGGTAACTACTGGTACTTCCAGATGTTACTGTATACAGTCTTCCTTGTTTGAGTTCATCCCTTGCTGCTTCAAGGTTTGAGTATGTAATGTTAAGCAAATACAGGTCTTAGAGATACATACACAGCATGTCATTTAAAAAAGAGCGAAAGATATGCAACACTTTGGTGCTGATGTGCTGGTACTAATATTTAAGGTCAACATGAGATTTATTACTTTACACTTAGCCTGGGTGCCATCTGAATTTGTAACGGCTCCCCCGAAAAAATCGGGGGAGCCGTTACAAATTCGGATGGCACCCAGGCTACTTTACACTTCCTTCTAGTTTAAAGTTTTCTCCCAGTTTCTTCTCTTTTGTTTGCCAGTATCAACCTTAGTTCTAAATGCAGTTTTGATGTGTATCGCTAGGGGGAGAAGTTCTCCAAGCCCACTTTGAAGAAGAAAACTGCACCTAATGAAAGATTGGAGATTGTCTTCCTGATCGCATGGAATTATATATTTACTGTTGATGAAATAAAGTGATTTTACAGTGGTTATGGCCGAAGTAATGTTTCTGAATTTTGACTTTCACTTTGACTTCGAATTTTGAAATTGTAACACAAGTTTGCAAAAATGGCCCAAAGCATGAGGCTCATTAAACTAGTTAGAAATACACATCATAGGTGATTATGGCAAAGTATATTTGCATTATAAATGGTATAAGTTGCTGAATTAAAAAAAAACAAGAAGCCATAGGCGACAATTCTCCGTGAAGTATTATATATTGCAACAAAAAGAAGTAGCCATTGGCGACAATTCTCTGTGAAGTGTGATAAATCGAACAAAGAAAAATTGTTTAAACGCGCGTCGGCTCAGTCATCTTAAGACGCAACAACCAATCAGAGATGCGAGATGCCTACACGTGACGCGGGAAGGGCGCGCGATGCCCGAAATATTTTTGCGTCAATATTCAGCGCCGTGATTCAAGAGATTAATACCCGGAAACAATTTTTTTCTTGTTTTGAACGCATTAACATGCATTTACGCTAATCTAGTATGATTCAGGGTTACTTTTTTTTTAACCTGCCATGGCCAGATTATCTAAAGATGTGTGTATTGTGTGTACAATCTATAGAAAGAGAAATGTACATCAGGTCCGATCATCCGATTTTCACGTTTCGGTTTTTGGACTCGGTTCATGAACGTATTTTGGTTTGGCTCCTGGAATGTGCAAAAAAATGACTCCCGGGACTGTCTACAGGGAACACTCGCACATTCGCGGTGTATCAGGACAGCGCGACTGGTCGTCATTAGCGCAGTAACAGTTGCATAAACGGACGAAACCATTTCAAAGAAATGGGGATGTTTCGAAAATAAGCATTTACTCCAATATCAAAACAGCTACGGTAAAAATAAAAAGACGTGCATCATCCCGGACATAATGCAACACCACATGCGAAATTACACAGAAATGCGACGTACGGAAGAATGCGTTTTGGCTGCGAACATCTTCCAAAAAACTTGGCATCTCTTAACCATGGGCAAAAACATCTGGAACCACTTATAAAAACCACCCCGTATCTGCATGAACTTTTTTGAACCCCACTGCTATTCCAAACAACGCGTTTTTCTGGACCATTCCAATTCGCCTCGTAATTGTAGGGGTGCGTCTGCGATATTACATTGACCGCGAAAGCAGCAACGGCAAAAATACACATTCGTGCATCAACACGGGCATGCCCGCAGACGGCGTATAAAATTGCGTGCCGATTACACAAAGAGAACCCAGTGTTTTGACTGCGAACATGAAAAATCAGCCGATTACAACACTCCGTCCGGAGGTCCTGACCTCCTTCACGGAGTAAAAAGGTTTTTTGAAACCCCCTCATTTGAAATGGACTGGTCGGCCCTGTGGGATGATGGGTGGAAAACGTCACGGTGACGTCACGCCGACCTGCCGTTCCGTGATGTCACCATTTTGGTGATTTTCTGCACAAAGGTGGTGTTTTTAAAATGAGTTTGTCCGGACAACTCAGGCACAAATCGGCCACGCAGTAGCGAGGGATGGAAATCATAAGAACTCAGGCCAACCCGGGAGCTATTCAGGTAAGCAGTCGATAGGAGATGCTGCGAGAATGACGAGTTTCGCAGGGGCAGAATTTATGCCGACGTCTTCTTGATGGAAAATGTCGGAAACGTCGTCTGCATATGAGCTCCTGAGCTGCTGATACTTGACATAAAAATTATGCTTCTTATAACATGCTGTTTTTGATGCATTAGATATGAAATCCTGGACTGATTTGTATAGCTGGACGTGGAGATTCTATTCTATTTTGTAGAGGGGTACTTGTACAGGGGCGATCTTGGAAGGAGGGAGGGGGATTGCACCAGGGGCATTTAGCATAACGCAAAAAAAATCATAGTGAGGGGAAAGATAAAAACATTACCTCGTTATATGTCGATTTGGAGAAAGAAGGCAAACAAATTGCATGAAAACATTGCATCTTCGGGGTTCTCTGCCACAGAACAAGCCAGAAAATTATCCCTCCCAACATCTGCTTGGAGAAATGATTACATGTAGGTCTTTCCAGTCCTAAGTGTCTTCCAGTTTGAAGCATAATTTAGCTAGGTACAATTTTTTTTAAACGTTATCTATCATCCCCCACAGACTCACCCATCTGTCATGTCTGTGCGACTGAAGGGTACAGAGCTGAACTACACTTCACAGTCGTGTATCGACTAGACTTGTTCCAACAGAAGCAGCGTGTACCAGGCTAGATACAATTTCTTGAAAACTTGCGACTTGTTATGAATAACAAAGTATCTATTATCCCACACAGACCCACCCATCTGTCCGACTGAAGGGCACAGAGCTGAACTACACCCCACAGTCGTGTATCGACCAGACCTGTGCCAACAGGAGCAGCGTGCATTACCACTGTCCACTGTGTACCAAGGCTGACTCGTATGGAGACCCCGTCATACTCAAGGCACACTTCAGAGTCAAGCATGTGGACAAGAGCATTGAGTTTGCTGGTAAAAAAACATCTTTTTACTATGTTAGCAGTATATTAAAGTTACTATAACTGTCTGTGTGTTCATAGGGAAAATGTATTCATGAAGAAACAAGTAGTCAAAGTGAAAAATTTGGTTAAAGACAAAAGATTTCAAAAGAAAGTCAACAGAAAATGTGCAGTCCTGGAGTTATGGACTGTTGGCCTGAATGGCATAGCTGGAAAAAATTTCACACATACCTGGTACATCTGTATGTAATATAGTATTTTGGAAACAGATGGAATGTTGAACAAACATCTACCTACATTGTATATAAGCAAGTATAAGTATACCTACTGACTCTAGTGACAGGTTTAAATCTTGATTATTTTTCATTGTGCTTTGACATTTACAGGGTTGAAGGTCCTGCGCTGCTGTAAGTCCTGTGAGATTGTGGGAGTGATTAAGGGTGAGAAGAGGTTTAAGGGAGCCCACTGGCACTGCTACAGGTGCAGGAATGGCTTCAACAGGAGAGACGAGGCAGTCAAGCACTACAAGACACACTTCAGGCACCCACAGACTACCTTCCAGATACAGATCCCAAATGTACGTTCTGATTTTCTCTCTTTATCTTATTGCTACTCAGAGTATGGTTACAATAAACTGTATTAGCTCTATATCAAAAGTATGTGTGTGTTTGTATTTGTTTAGAGTTAAAACGTCTGTCCCAACACAAGAGAATTGTTCTCACCTAGAGCCTTCGACTCGAGTAAGACTTGCCACGTGGCTTCTCTGAAGTATGACATCAACTGGTCAAAAGCTTTAGTCTAGGTGAGAACAATTCTCTTGTGTTGGAACAAAAATTTTAACTCTAAATATGTAACTACTAATTCAATACAGATGAACTTTCAGGATTGTATTTGTACATGTATTTGTTGGCTAGTTCATTACAATAGCCTTCCAAATATTGTGCAGAAACAGTGACAATGTTACTCTTCCTTTTCTGTTTTGATGGCAGGAACTGATCGACCCTGAGCCAGGCGACAGTTTACTAGAAGCAGGCAGTGCTACCCACGCCCTCACCACCACATCCTCCCAGTTTTCTAGCATTCATCCTGTCCTCACTGAGGCTGTCATGACAACCGCACAGCTGACCAATGACAGCAAGGGAGAGACAGCTGTGCCAAATGGCGTGGCAGCCAATGAGATCGTGGCTACTTCAGATGGTCAGACATTTGTCCTCATTCCAGAAAATGCTCAGGTAATTGAATTGGATAAGTCTTAAAGTTAAAGTTATCCATCCCATCTCCGGTTCAATAGCCCTTGGGCCACACAGTAGTGCAATCACTACAACAAAGGGCTAGTCCACTGGTATTGGTGTGTGTTTAACTGCCATACTCTTTCCCAAATGCTGAGTGCTAAGGAGAGAAAGCAGTATGTACCAAGTCTTTGGTATGGCTCACCCATCTTTCTGTCATTTGACATGATGTTATGTTAAACAAAATCAAGATGATGGAAAAATTTTCAGGCTGTCTAGAACACTGTACCAAATGAAAGTTTTTGATCACAATTTCGTTGTTGTGCTAACCCTTAGGGAGACCTGGGTGCCGATCACTGTGAAGTCGTGAGTTACGAGGCTCAGTCTGACATGGTGGATGCCAACAGCCTGTCTCAGGACGACCTTGAGGGCACGCTGACGCAGGACAACATCCTGCGGCTGCTGGAACAGCGCAGGCAGCTGCAGGCGGAGGTGGAGCAGCTGCAGGCGCAGAACCAGCAGCTGCAGGTGTGTAAGATGATTGTGTAAAGGGAGGAGGAGGATGTTGATTCTCGTGCTCCCGTGGGTCTACCGCTCATGTTTGCAAGAAATGGAAGTCTGGACAATGACGGAGGTGGAAGTAAAAAAGAAAAAAAAACAAAAAAACACTGGAGTGCAAAAAAAGACATCTGCACGCCAAGACTTCAACTCAAAAAACTTTATTCTTAGAACATAATAGATCCTAACATTACCATTAAGACGTTGAATGGACACTAAAATCGCCGTTCAAACGACTGAATAGCTAACCCTTTACACCTTTCCTGCAGGTGGACAGGGACGACATGGAGAGGCAGCTGCGGGAGGAGATAGCACAGCTGAAGCAGCAGGTGAAAGGAAGGGACAGGATTCAGCCCTCCAGACTACTCCAGACATTTTAGGAGCATACAACAGCATTTTAAGACAGAAAGTGCACCAATTACTAGTAGTTTATATCAGCAGTCATACATTGACTTGGATGTTTAATATATATATGTACAAAATGTATGAGGTAACAAGCTAGCATTTGCTTGTTTATTCAGGTGCAAGACCTTTCCTCATCAAGTCCCAGTATGGCTGACAGACAGAGAACACAGCAGGAGCCACCAGAAGGTCTGTTAACTTTTTGGAAGAATATGTACACGTAAATAAACCCAATTCTGATACTAGTAGCATGGATATATCCATGACTATACCCCACTACTTGAGTAGTAACGTTGTAGTTATATAAACTTGTTAGACTCTGGAAATAAATAAGTCAGGGCATTATTCTTTTTTATATGACACTACAGACACACAGATCCAGGAGTTGATCGAGAGACTGAACAGGGAGCACAGGCAGCTGTTGGAACAGCAGGTGGCCCTCCTCCGTCAGCACGACCAGGGAAAACAACAGGTAGCCAACACTCTACATCAGCTGCTCTAATAAATGTTATACTTCGTAGTCTAGTCATGTTTCCTCTTTTATAGACTGGATGTCACTGCTATGTCTGGCAGCAAGGACCTCACTGGACATGGTATCACCAGGTTACTGCACAAACTTAAGTAGAATTTATAGACCTTGTATTTGAAGTCGTCTTAATATCTCTGCTCAAGTTTTCTTTGAAATTTAAAGTATGGTACTGGAAAGCTTAGCACTGACAAGCTATGGCTTTGCTAAATTACAGCTAGCTATATATTTATTAACTATATGTATGATGGGGCTTATGCAGTCATCAGATTTATTGAAGTTGAAATAGTTGCAAAATGTTTTCTTTTAATCAACTACTTTGATTTCTTCCTCCCCACGCCAGGCCTCTCACCCCATCCTGGTGACCATGTTGTCCCCATCAGACTCTGAAACTGCTGCATCCCAGGAGACTGTCCAGTCTGTCTCCACCGGCTCACAACTTACACAGCAGCAGGTGCAGTTTCAGACACTTTACGTCACACACAACATGCACGGCGGTTCCAACGGGTCTGACAACGATGGCAGGGAGCTTATGGCACCTGACGGGGTCCCAGAGAGTTCTAACATTATTATGGATGTGGGGGAAGATTCGCATCAACTGCTTGTGGACAGTATTGATGTGAGCTTGGACAAGAGGAAGGCAGAAGATCCTCTGTTGGAGGAACCCAACAAAAGGAGAAAAGACAGTCCATAAAATATTGTTGTGTAGAGATTGTTTAGAGATGTAACCAATATTTTGTATAAAAGATGATCGAAAGACTATTGTATTGAATTATATGTAAAGCTTGTATTGTTTAGTGTCTTGATGATTCAGGTAGTATGTATTTTTGATCTAACAATGTAAGATGAATGATAATGTTAGGTTTGCTGGTAGCTGGTAGAACATTTCGTGAAACTCGTACATCACATCTTACAAAGAAATACAGCTTGCTTCCATCACTTCATGGCTTTTATTCGTAATCATTCATGCTCCTCTGGAGAAGCAAAACGGTGCACAAAAGTGTGGTACTGAACACTCCATGCATGGTGCATTCGGATAACCTCTGAGGTGGAAATAATACAGGTATAACTTTCATAAAAAAAGCTTCCAATAACACTTCAGCTCCTATTCCTATCTGATGGTAATAACCTAAAACTTTTGGACATTTTGCACTTATTTACACTGTACTGACCTCTTTTTGCATTAGATACATTTTTTTTAACTTTACCAACTGATTTACTCACATGTCATTTCAACGGTCCCCAAAACTTCCCCCCTTTGCCAGAGACATGGAGTACATTTCTAGATCTCCCCACAAAAGCCCTTGCTGTTATTTGTCCCCATTTGATTACATGAATTTAGCAGTGCAAAATTAGATAATACACATTGTACATGATATTTCATCTTTGAAGATACATCAGACCCCATTTTCTTCAGAAACTCTACAAACTTAATGTAGTTTTGCACAGTTGGCAAGCATGTGTTTTGTTACCAGCTGCATAAGACTTCAGTATTTTGTGGATATTACAACAGTGATATTACATTACATGGTGCCTTTGTATCTGTATCTGTACAGTAGCCCTGAATGTATACAGGATTATTGCTTTGTTTGCATTATTGCCTATCTACATGCATGAGACTAGAACCTTTCATCTCAGGCCCAAGCAGGCCTGGGCCCAAGTAACTATCTCTTCATGATTTGCAATGATACCTGTGTAAACTGGACAGAAGTCTATCTAAAATGTACATGAAGCAGTTTAAAAACTTTCAATCCCAAGGATTCTGTCACTACTGTATAAATCTTATCTAAGACTCTTGCCCAGTAAAATGTTCAGTGCTGTTTAAATGGGTTGGTTAAATAAAAGACATATATCTCCCTCTATACATGATGATATAAAAACCTGACATGTTAAAAATGTTGACATTATGGTACAAATACATTGAACTTACTGCAACAATGTATCAAAATAACATACAGTAGTTGGATACAGAGTGTGCCTTGCACTATGTACAGGTGCGCTGCAGTTCCTTGTACGTCCACTAGGAGGCATACATGACATGGCAGATTCTTCTTATAAAACTTGTCACCCTTCTTCAGTAAACTCTATAACCTGTTAAATCAACTGCACAACAATCATGGTACCACAATTCTGAAGTAAAAACTTTTCTATCCATAATCGCGTCCAATCTTCAACAGTTGCATGATTCTTAAAAAAGTCGTTCAACAGCTTACATGTTTAATAGTTGGCTTGGATAGAAAAACACTTCTGTTGCACTTCTATAGTGGCCTTACACTATATTTCACATGGCGTAACTCTTACATCATCTAAAAGGCACGTGCAGTGGTATAAAATATCTTTTCGTATTGCAACACTCGGGTGCTCTCTCTCAACATTTGATATCCATAACCGTAGTGTATATTATCTATATTACATGTATATGTACTAGTATGCTGTTGGTGACCAATTGTTCAAATGCTTCCAAAGTTGTTTTCAACATAACTCTGCAGGAATAAAGTTTAGGATCACACATTCAGTTTCAATTATCACAAAAGACTGATTTCAAAATCTGTAAGAATGCAGTACTATGGCTTGAAAAAAAAGAAAGCCCCAAAAATTTTAAGATAACTGCTACTTGAGCAATAGGTCACACGTTTGCCAGCACTCATAATAACTTATGTATGTTTCTAAAAGAGATATTAAAGCGTCACTCTTTAAAACGTCTTCACTTTAACAGAAGAAGCGGCAAACATGGGCGGATCGTCCTCATCATCACTATCATCGTTGTCTACAGGTTGATGTCTCTGCCCTCCCCGAGGTACCAGTCCCTTTGCCTCGAGTCTTCTGAGGTTGTTGAAGAGTGACTGGACGTACGTGAAGACGCAGCGCCAGTCTGGTTTCTCCCCCATGTCGATCATGTCCTGTACCTCCAGAAGGGGCATGATGTCTGCTTCACTCCTACGGACGGAATCAAGTCATCTTTACTGCATGTTCATTTCCAAAACAACTGACTGCAAGTGGATAAAACCAAGTATACAGATACAATACAGATACTGTACATGTAGTTAGAAAAGGTATGACATTGAATTTCTAGTAAGCTAACTTGCATGAATTACAGACTTCTATGCATCTAACCTAGGCCTTCAAAAATTAAAAGGGGAATAGTGATCATTTGTTTACAAAAAACTGCAATGAGCTTACAAAGGGGTTAAAAAAACAATATCCTAAACCTATGACTCAAAACTAACATTCTAACATGTAACAATGATAACATTGGTCAGTCAGCATTAATGTACCTTAACAAAAGTGATCCTAAATTGTAAAAAAAATAGATAAATGTACCTGTACCATTGAAAAAAGTCTATAAGAATGCAGACAACAGTAAGAAAGACATAGCAGTAAGGGAGAAGCAAGACATACAAGACAACAGCTGGATGTAACCCTGGGAAACAGATAAAGGAAGTTTAATGCACAAATGAAGAGGAAAACAAAAACAGTGAATGAATGAAAGACAGTCTGAACCTGGAAATGACCAACAAAAAGAACAGTGAGTCAGACAGATGAAAACTGAATGGGATTGTTAACCCTGAAATGGAAGGAAACAATTGTACCAGAGTGGACCAAGTTTCTATTTATGAGTTGGTCTACTAGGGTTAAAGCATGTAGCTAAAATGTCCCTTTTTAACTTTTTAGCAAAATTTTTAGCAACTTTTGTCAGCTGTCCACCATATGTCAGCTGATGTTGACAAATGACTTAACCTTTGGAGCCATTTCAATGAAAAACAGCACCAATGTTTGTCTTTTTTTCAAGAAGTAAGACAGAAACTAGTCTGAAAATGATACATACGGTAGCCTGGATGACAAACATTTAGCTTAATCTCACTCCTACTGATTGTTAGTACATAGGAGCAGGCTGAAGCTAACAAGGCTGGCATCCAGGCTATGAAAACGAAGTCTGGAAAATGATACAACAGTACCAGGAAACATGACACAGGTGGGGGTGTGGAGTGGGTTCTTGTGCAGAATGACACAGCAACAGACTTGAAGGCTGTCTAAAGACGTTTAACAGGACAGAACAAGTGCTTGAGACATGGTGACAGGTGTATATAAGAAGGTGGCTGTGGCCTCTGGACAGTCCGTCATGTCCCCACCTTTATGTCTACTTATCAAGTTGGTGAAGCTCGCGGTAGGCACACTGTATGTAGGTGAAGACACACTTCCAGTCTGGGCACTTCATCCTCACCATGTCTTCAACATCCAGCAGCTGAGGAACGTTGGCCTTTTCTCTGTAAGTTGACGGTGGGGAGGGGGGCACCACAGGTTATAATTAGTTGTTACAGCTAAACTACAACTACTAACAAAGCTCTCTTAAAACCAAAGGGCCTCCCTGTAAGGGAAGGCATTGAGAGCTGTGGTGATACAGAATGTGTCGACGATTGGGATGAGAGAAACACTGATGTTATACAACAGACGTAATACAGCTATTGAAATTCCACTGTCAGTGTGTTAGCCTGATATCCTAAGCTCATTAACCAACAAGATGCAGACTCCAGCTCTGCTTTATTGTTTTGCATAGATATTTTTGCAACATTCAGTACATCTTTTTGATAGTTCATCTAGTGTGCAAATGTGCACTACTAAAAGACATACTAAATGCTGCAATAACATGCATCAAACACTGAAACAGAGCTGGATACTACATCTGCTTTCAGCTTGCTTCTGCTTCCTAATGGCAGAAGAAGAGCAAGCTGAACAAGGTTCAATATCAGGCTAACAGGGTGCCATTTGACAAGGAAATTGGTGCAGTGCAAACTACAAGCATTGACACCTCCTACGCTAGATGTACACGTAAATACGTACTTGAAATGGTCGTGTTCTCTTTCTTTTAACAAACGTACATCTCATGATTTACCCATGACACGAACAGATACATCATTGAGAAAGAAGGAAAAAACAAATTACAGTTGAAAGGAATCACAACCGAAGTTCTCCGAGCGGTGCAAGCTAGGACACCACAGTCTGACTTACTCTGCTGTGTCGAAGGCCAACTTGAAGTTGTGTGCCTTGTTCTTGGGGTCAAGGGACTCGTAGTCGAAGGCGTCTGGGAAGAAGTGGTGGATGAGGGCGCAGAAGGCCATCCCATCGTTCCAGCTGGTCGAGAAGTTGGAGATTTCCACATGCTGAAAAATGGACCAAAAAAATTGAACTTCACACCCATCAGAAATATATTTACTTCAAAAATCTTCATATGATTCTGTAAGATTACTTCTGTACCAGGTATACAGTAATCTGTTCTGATTTCTGGGTTACTCGGTAAAACTTGAAAAGTGAGTGACATATCTATCCACAGAGTCTGGTTATTGCAATGATGAAGGTTACTGCAATATCCCCAAGGTTTGCACATAAACAAATTGTTCCCAGTATTCTAAATAACGATAAGTCATGCCAGTGCAGTAAACCATCCAACCCATCAGGACATGTTCCATAAACTAAATGCATGAAAAAATCAGAATCACCACAAAATGAGAAGGGCAGCCTGTACTACTTACATCATATCCTGAAGTCTTGGAGCGGCACCATCTCAGCAGCATGTCCTTCACAGCGCTGGCGTTCGGCACACGGGACGCGCCTGGTCTGGCCGGGGTACTGAAGCTACGCTTCAGGTTAGTACCACTGGAGAGGTGAGAACAACAAAAACTGTCAAGTTCTGGTTTCAGACTTTATTTTGTATTCCTTGCTGGCCCAGCAATTATTAACTCTTACATTGTACTGATCTTTAACTTACCTTTTACATCTGATTTCAATTATCATGCTCCTTGTCTTAACAGTTGCAGTGTGGTCTACACTTTGAGCAGCAATACTGAAAACCTATCCACTTATGCCACCATTACATAACATTATAGAGTCATTGAACTTCTTTTACCTGACAGTTAACAGAATACTGTGGTTTAGTAGAAAATGAAGGCAAGGCTCATAAAGTAGTATTTCCGATGAATGTTTTTAACATTAGTCAGATTAAAATGTAGGAAAATCAGCCTTCATTCATCATACTGTTTCATCATCTTTTTAATATGAGGTCCGTCAAGATTTTTTGGCCTCATTGGCTCTATACATTGATCCAAATTGACACCTAAATTACGGGACACATTTTGTCTGTTGCCTGTACAAGAGATATACAAGGCAATTAGACAGTTGAATTAGCTCAGGGCCTACTGGTATGAGATTAAGTACATGTATTATGATACAGAAGTCTAAGAATGTACCTTAACACATCAATAAGCAGCCTTCGACCAGGTTTTCTGCACGTCACACGGGGATAAACATGCAACAAGACGGGGGAACAAGAAACAAGGAAGTTAGATAAATGGTTGAGTTAGATCTAGTGTCAGCGTATGACAAGCATGGAGGGTTATACGCTCTCTGTAAGTAGCACAGAATGGTAGATAATTAAAGCAGGATAAGTTTGGGGTAGAACACTGTTACTAAAGCAACATTGAAGCATATGAACATTAAAGCAAGAAGATTAATCCTTTACATGTAAATGGGCTACTCAGCTCAGTGACAGAAAAACTATCTACATAGTAGATAATTATGATACATAACGAGTACAATACTGTACGTAACATAGGTTAAACTGGACACAACTTATCAAAGTTGTAACAAGTTAGTAGGCTCAGTACCAGTCTTGCTCAGCTGTAGCCCACATTTATCTGAAGGGTTATGATTTCAGAAAGAGCTGAGCATGGCTGATACTTAGATAGGAAACAACATAATGTCAATAGAGTTGCAGTACTGGGAACAACTGACAGAGGGAGTTGCTGCACATGGGGACAAGAAGAAGAACAGAGACAAGTTATCACAGACATTTACACAACCACAGCGGAGGACAAGCTGCAAGAAAACAGGGAAAGTCAGGAAGTAAAGACAGGAGAAGCACAGATGGTTTAGAAGTTGTTTGTCAGGTTGTTTTTTCTTCCAGAATCCTCACCCTCCAGTTTTTGGAGCATCTCCCTCGAGTTTCTGGATGAATGCAGACTTGGCAGCCTTCATGCTGTGGCTGCGCCCGGCCGCCTTCAGTCTGTCCATCTCCTTCTTCTTCTCCGCCAGCTGCCGGTCGATCTGGTGCGCCGCCTTCCTCGGCCTGGGAGCCTCTTCCCTGTCGAACACGCTACGGGAGCAACATAAGGGGTTCCAGGGTTATTATGGGCTAAACATGTACATGCAGGAGGCATGGCCATCCCTCAGGTCAGCTGAAATATAGAAGAACTTATAAGTCTTGTTTGAACTCTTTGAGAAAAAGATGTTTAAGCAGTAGGAAAAACCATTATATTGAAAATGTCATTCTAGTCAAGTCTTCCTTGTAAGTTACTGTTAGACAATATTAATTATTCTTCTTAGACCGTAACACACTTATCATGAAGAGTAGGGGTCGACCCAATGTTGTTGGCTAAAAATAAAAGTTATATAGTGAATCTGTACTACTGCAGTACTAATGTACAATGAAGCGACTTGACAAAGCATCATGCTTCACCTCAGTTGAAAACGAATGCTTTACCTTACAGGCATACCGGTAGCAAAAATCAATTTTATTTCTGTGTCTTTCAAAAGGGTAATACATATGTACGTCATTCTGTGCTTTGCTGGCCTTAAGTCTAAAGCTGACTGTCACGTCCCTGTATTGTGCGTAAATCACTCTAATCTTAAGCTTTCCTTAAGTACACTAATATAACATACTAACAAGCCAGTAACTGGGGATCAAATAAAAGCTACACATTACACCAAATCCAAACCAACCGTTTATGATGATTATGTCTAACAAGCTTGAATAATTGGGATTACGTGTATCTTGCTTCTATGTTGTTAAGCTTAGATGAAGAACTTGTAATTGCTGACTCAACAAAACAAACTTCAGATGGATTGCACACCCTGACCTTGGCTAATGCTAGAATGACAGTCCCTATTCAAACTTATAGCCAAAGGGCAGTGTTTAAATGACTTTCGGGTCACCAAGCATTAACTGGCTTAGCCTGGAGTTACTCCTTATATCATAAGTGCTGGTCTACATGGGTAACTATCTTCTAGTCCGGCTGTACTTGTATCTTGTACTGGAATTAAAAAAACACTATGGTAACTGTAGTGAACAAGTTTAAGTTAGTTAAAGTCCTTCCTGCACCAGGTGGTGCATACAGTAGTGCCCACTTCTGGTTCAGAAGCCCTTGGGCCACACAGTAGTGCAAGCAACTGCAGAGGGCTGGTCCACTGGTCGTGTTGTGTCTTTAAATCCTATGTTTTTTCCCAAATGCTGAGTGTTAAGCCAAGAAAACAGTCTTTGGTATGATTCGCATCGCATTCGGATCAAACTCACAACCTACCAAATGCAAGGTGAACACTCTACCTACTTGGCCATAGCACCGGTCTCCTATACCGGTACCCTACAGTAACGTGATAATCATATACTTGACCAAGGGCAAACCGCTTTTGAAGTCTGACAGCCAAATGCCAGGGCCACCTTTCTGACCCCAGGGTCAGGTGCATACACAAAGGACAGACTTTATAAATCACAGCAGTGAAGAAGACAGGCAAACCTTAGAACTCAAATGAATCACACTTCGACGTTTTCAATCTACGGTTTGAAATCCGTCTATGTTTGAACGTTGAATGTCCTAGGACTGTCTGTGATAAGTTCCTGCACAAAGTTTTCATGTTGAAAACTTGTCTCAAGAGAACTGAATTCAATCAATTTGAATCTCTCAATTTATGGTCTGAAATCCATGTTTGAATGGTAGAAGCAGCCCTATAGGCCTGTTTGCGAAAAATTCCTGCCAAGTTTTCATGTTAAAATGTGTCTCAAAATAACTGTCAGTGAGTATGAAAATTCTTTGCACATTGGGAGTAAAATCTCTGTTCCTGTGAGCAGTTGTTCCAAGGGGTACAAACAACTTTTCATGTTCCTAAACAACAGCAGTAAAATTGCTCCCAAACCCTATAATTAGCAATGTGATGAATCATGTACCCTGGGCTACAACCGCCAATTATTCACCTTTACGACTTCCTACACAGCTAAGTCCTTCCATCTGATAATATTTATGTCACAAACAACCCTTCTTAACACCAAAAGTAATTAATCAATCCTTCTCAATTAGTTCTCCATTAAAAAAATTGTCTAGAATGATCAGTAATCCAAGAATCCTCTTGAAAACTTGACAACTTGACTTGACAAAACTGGATGATCCGGAATACCTACAGCCAAACAAACCTATTCAGCACCATTTTGTTCACAAATATACAAGATAAGATGCAAAACACAATGTTCTTCTCTCTTTCCTTATCTACCTCCCAGCCTCTTTCGCCTTAGGACATACCGGTAGAACTAAAATAGCCATTGTATTACTGCTAGAGATGCAGGAGATAAAAACATTAAATCATTAACCAAATTGAAAAGAGCATAATTCGGCTTGTCACACAAGTCAAAACAACAAAACAAGCTTTTTTTCGCAGCTGGTGGTAAGTATTCTCAGAGGATGCTTAGGTTTATCTTTAGTTTGTAAGACAGAGGAGTTAATTTGTGCTCAGACTGAGGGCTGAAAAGTGAGCACATTAGAGTTTAATCTATTGTGATGATAACAATCGTTGGACAGTTTTGTGTTCCCGGTGCCTGGGGCAGGTTGTTCCTGAAAGTCGCACAGTCTGTTCAGGCCAGTAGCTACTGATATCCGTGGGACCTACCACCATAGGGGTCCCGGTCCACGACCGAATAAAAGGAAGTGTATGTTTGCCATAGGATAACCCAAGACCTAATTTTAGGTAAGAAGGCTTCATGCCTTGAGAAAGACTGTGCAAGATTCAAGTCAAGGATGTATGCTTCACTGGAATAGGGGCACTGTACTGTGGAGGGCCCATGTGCTGTCTGTAGGTCTAAGAAACAGAAATATACTCGTCTTAAACCTTATATTTCTCAGAAATTAAGACATTCATGCATGACCACCCTGAAAGGTTTTGTATGTAATACTATACAAAATGTTTATCAATTACTGTCCAAGCAATGGTGAAGAGATAAAACATATGGCACTGAATGTGGGACAACCCTGGCTAACAATCAAGCCGTTGTTTTCCACTGAAAGATAATGAATGCATTGCGTAGAAAAGACTGACAAGTGACCACTTTACTCTATACTTTAGCCACAGGCCTAGGGACTTCCTGACAAGGGCCCATTATAATATAACTGCCTCGTCTAAAAAAAAGGACAACTTAAAAGACAATCAACCATTAAAATACTCTCTTGCTACAGTAGATGTAAGGTTGTTACAGTTTTCAGCATATTCCTTTCATTATTAAGATACTAGACTATTCTTGCCAATGACAGACAAATACATACATGTGATGTAACTCACTAACAATATGAAAACTTTCAAAGAATACATGTAGGAATCATCTGCATTCTGATTTCTAGTCAATCTTGTATAAGACTCTTATAGTATGTCTTGGGTTTATAAGCTGAATGTCTTATAAGTTGGACAGTAATAAATGTATATGATGGCCTCAGGCTTGGGTGGTCACTCGTTTTAAGACACAATCACTTGCAGAAGTCGTTATGATAAAGAACCTCATTAAAACACTCCAAATTTAGAGATGAGATGAGAAGAGGTGGAGAAAAAGGGATGTTTTGGAATAAATCCGTCTTCAATTTAGTCCACAAGTTAAATCCAAATTTGTTTAGAGATAGTACAGAGAATTTCTGGAAGAGCAGAGCATAGCACTGCAATACAAGATCCAATGCAACTGCATTGTAAATGTAGGGTTTCACTTGAAACAATCACAATGTATTATTTCCATAACAATATCTTTGCTTACAAATATCTCATGTTTGTTTACAAAATTTCATCTCTGAAAAGCAAATGTAATATACAGACGAAGAAGAGAGTCAGTCACAGAAAAGGGAACCACCTTCCCTGAATCCAGGTCAACTTACCCTTTCAGTTTACTGCCCATAATTGTAGAGAAGTCTACAGAATTATCTGGGAGTTGTGCCCACCTATGGAGGAGCTAATTACACGGTGAAATCACATTTAATGGCAGCTTAGAGGATCATCGGTGGTAAAAACAAATGAGGACCTCAAAGAAGAGGTAGTGATAAATATACTACTCACCCTTTCTGTTAGTCATCACAACATTTATACTGTCATAAAATGACTTTTTATGATCAACTTGTCTATTTCTGTATACAGTGTACATGTACATCAAACTTTTGTCAAATAGCGATTTTTTTTTCTTCCACTTCATAAAAAAAGGGAAGAAAAAACTTCTGAAGCATTGACACTCCAAAATAGACCACTAGTGTATGCATCAGATTGCATCTTCTCCTTAGCACTTAAACTTGCAGCCCTAGACTGAATGACAAAGGCCTTGCATAGATTTCCCCAGCTGACAAAAAAGCCATGTCAACCTTTAAATAAGCCAATGCCCTAACTGGGAAACTCCCAATGCAGCACCCAAGGAACTAACTAAAGTAGCTTATCTTTGGGCATAACACAGTTGAGCTCTGCCTGAACGGGACCAAAAAGTTCCTTTCCCAAGCGACTGCTAGAACCAATGGATTAATCCCTGAAACAGCAGACAAAGGAAGAGCTATGGTGGTGGGAGCGAACATGAAGCCCACACCATCTGCCCCGATGTCGGTCCTGACCTCCCCGACTGGAAACAACCCTTCTCCACCAAGACAAAGGATCAAAAGTACGGGGTAGTTTGTTCACAGGGAGAACGGCTGGGTTCCTTTGTGGGTTAGGCTCTAGCGTTACCGCAAAGCAACCAACAGGAAACGTTGTGGAAACTGTTTGAAAACACTTGGAAAAACTCATTACGTAGCCCCCTTTGGGACAGTTAATGCAACTTAACTGGATTTGGACAATCTTTCACCACTTGTTGATTCTTTTCTTGTCGAAAATTTTACATTTGGCCAGGTCTTTTGACATGCAGCTAAAGCAGCATTGTTGGGAAAACTTCACTATTTGCTTTCTTTCCATTCATGGTCTACACATCAAAGACAACTCTGATTGCAAAATGAGACTTTTAGAACAAGAAATTTACAGCAGAAAGGAACATTTCAAAACATTTACAGCGACGCCTTAACTTTTTCTCACGACCTGGAAGTGACAGATCTTGTTACTAAT